AAAAAAAGGTGATATGATGAGTATTCATGAATAATATAATGAGAATGTACAGCTCGTTAATAAATTCGCTGCAAAGAGATCCCCACGTCAAACTTCGTGTTTTAATTTTTATGTTTAAATGGAAATTATATGCCATATTAAAATTGGTTGCTTATATATATATATATATAATTCAAATAAGAATCGAGACGAAACAAAATGTTAATAAGTGTCTTACGTGCAATGATCGTTCAGGTGCTCTGGAAAGCTTATCCTGCCTCCATAACGGTTTGTTTTGAGTATGTTTTTAGATGCCGCCAAAGTATCACCGTGAGTGTTGACTATCGGATGAGTTATCGTAAGTTTAGAACTCCTGTCTTTCGATTTCATCGAAGGAAAATAGACGTGGATAGGGATTCCTTCTAAATACGCTGCTTTGATTCGATCGATTCTGATGCTACCTTTAGTGTGGCTCTTATCGACTATATAGTGCTTAGGTTTGCGCTGAAGAGCTTTGAAGGTTCCTTCGTTTGCTGATTCGAGGGGTCATCGATGTGAGTCTCGACATAAGAAGGCGTGTATACTGTAGTATCAGTTTATATGTTAAGCCCATATACTTTATTCTAGTTGCTGGCCAAGCCAATTCTATTACGCATCAAAAATATCTGGTTACTGCAATTAGTATTCTATTTCCATTGCATGTTATACAAGAACATATAGTTTAGAGCTGGTCTCTCAAACATACACTCCTGTTCGTCACATCTAAGTCAGTCTCACTTGCCGTCATCGATAATCATATGTATTGGTATTTTTGTTGTGCCTTAATACGGTTTCGTAACAAACGACGTTGAGCGCATATCCCTCTAACTACACAAACCACGATAGGCTGCATGACCATAAAGGAATACGACTCCGCATATCTCGTTTCAACAGTCACTATCCTGTTCCTCTGGTCATTCTACTAATACATATTTAACGATAACTCAGCGCAAGCGACAACGCACACTGACTTCGCATTTTATTATCATTATCAGTACAGCAATGAATATCAACCGTTGATGCAGTCATCATCCTACGACTCGATTATTTTTACCACACACGAACTCCAGGCATGCGAATTCGAATCTACTAATCGATTATCGACGCTACAGAATTGGAGGCCTTGCCGAACGAGCACGACGCAATATAATTGGTTGCCTCGCCGAAACGAACACGACGCAATAATACTATATCGTAAGTCAGGTTGAACGAAAACATCAGTTGACTGCGGTCGAGAGTAAGCAGGTTTAACTGAACACATTGCGTTTGCAAGCCTGCTCATGTTGGAGTTTAGATCCACATTCTTTTAAAAAGACGAATGACTCACGAATTCTCATGGAAGTTGGATTGTCATTCTATAAACGAGCTGACCTACAGCGTATCCAATGTCAGCTTTCACTGCATTGCGAATACCTAGTAAGGCGAGTGGAAGAGCGTCGGTCCACTGTGAAACGTTTGTAGCTGATAGAGAAGCTTTTAGCTGTCGGTGAAAGCCCTCTAACAATTCGTTTGCCTGTGGGTGGTAGGTAAACAAGCTTACGTATATATGTGACTCAGCGCGATATTTCATGTTAGTTCTCCTTCCTAGTATGACATCTTGACATTACTTTTGTTCTCAACGCAACATTCGAGTAAGTGTGGTATTGAATTTGTATTTTCAAATGTAATATAGTTTTAGATCAATGTTTTTCATATACATTAAGCATACGTTTTGTATGGTTTTGTAGTTGTGAACTCTCATCTGATTTGACGATTATACTATTTCAATTGACACGTGTAAACTTTGTACGTTGTGTGAAGTAAGCAAGTGTATCTAATTAGTTGTATGACGGTTATTAACATGTAGCGTTAAGTAAATCTGCAAAATAAATAATTTCACAAGTCTTCGACATTGATGCTAACCTCAATAGTTCTGATAGACACACTCAAGTTGACGGTGCTCACTCACACATCCGAACGAGATCACTGGTGGGGATGCAGTGCCGTACATATCTTCCAAACCACTAGCCAGATTAGACCAAGTGTTTCTAAATACACAGATAGCCTCCAAATATGTCCCGAAACCCCTTCATTTCTGACTTCTGATCTGACTGGTCTGGTATCCTTTGATTATAAAGGTGCTATTTGTTAAGGAGTTGTTAAACTCTGAACACTTATGGTATCTTCAAACGAATTGTTAAATGTCTGTATAATTGGCATATAGCTGACTGTATTATTTTTAATGCTGTCTCATTCTTTGGAGAGTCAAAAAATCTTAATTTATACCAGTCTTTGTGTTTACCCTACTCATCCTGGGGATCTCATTACTCCCTGTTTCTAAATATAAGTCGTAAACAACGAGTATAAAAGCGCCTGGACTTCCCGTTGGAAGACGTTGTAGTAGAATTTCCTGCTGACAATTTCGAGAAAGGGCAGGAGATTAATTCAATTCCATAATCACATGTGTAGATCACTCCATGTACTACCACTGGGTTACTCTCCACCATGATTAATTGGTGTTTTTCCTGTTTTCATAGTAACATACCTCCATGTGTCCATAGAAACTATCTTTCCACTCTGATGTAGAATCAAATAAACAAAGCTGGGAAATCCTTCTTAGCAAAGTTCAAAGATCCTGGGTTTTGTGCCCCGAGATTTGACTCCCATTTGAATGAACTCCTCAATATCCCATGAATATAAATCTTGTTTGATTCCGTAAACTATACCATGACTAAACGTGTTTAATGGACGGTGGCTATAAAAAGGCAGATACAGATTGACAAAAATGAATTTACTTCGGGACATTTGTTTACTCAGACAGACGTGCTACTCATTACAAGCATCGATATAATTTGAAATAGATAACGCCTAGTGTGACGGAGATATAGCCATTTGATGAAACAATGAGTGGCAGACACACAAGTACACACAAGATGCATAAGCGTAGAATTACTAGGACAAGAACATAAGACGTAGACTTGCTGATGGTTTCAATTTACGTATGAAAAATAGTTATTGTGAAGGTGAAAATGACTCAACAGTCATATGATGTATGAGTTATTAAAGTCCGTCCAAATGTTAGGATGGACCCCCTTTAATTGACTGGCTCACTTCATATTTAGAAAACCGACACTTTAAGGTCAGAGTTAACTTCACTCTCTCTCAGGCTATGGAATGTCCTAGTGGGGTCTCCCAGGGCTCAATACTAGGACCTCTTCTCTTCTTGATTTACATTAACGATCCTCCTCAACAAGTTTCATCTGACTTAGTGCTTTTTGCTGATGATGTGAAACTTTGAAGAGAGATACATAATCATAATGATATAGTAGTTCTTCAGGAGGATCTGACCCGACTTCAAAGTTGGGCAGACGACAACGGACTTACCTTCAACACTTCAAAGTGCAAAGTAGTCGATCTGAGACATGTTTCAGACTATAGTTAAAACTTGGGTAACTCCCCTCTAGAAGTTTTCCAAGTTGAAAAAGATTTAGGAGTGTTGGTACCTTACGACCTGAAATCGTACGCGAACTGTGACAAAAACGCCTCTCAAGCAAACCTTGCACTGGTAACATTGAAGCGCATTTTTGGCCAGTTTGACGGTAGAACTTTCCACATAATCTTCAACAGTTTTATTCCACCCCATTTAGAGTACGGAAACATAGTGTTTCCTCCCTCCCTCCCACGAAAAGGATAAGGACACTCTGGAACGTATACAACGTGGAGCCACGAAATCAGTTCGGGGTCTCAAATTCAAACCTTACGAAGAGCGCCTTAAATCACTTAACCTTTACCCGTTAGAGTACAGGCGTCTTAAAGGTGACCTCCTTATGACTTACAGTATCCTTAATACTTCTGGTCATCCCCTTAAACATCTTCTTAAGCTTAGTCATAACACTAACCTGAGAGGTAACACCCAGAAATTGGAGACCCTACATAGCAGAACAGACTGCAGACACAACTTCTACTCCGTTAGAGTTGTCAAGTGCTGGAATTCGCTGTTAACTTAGCTAGTCCAAGCGACCTCCCAGGAGTCCTTTAAGGGGAAACTTGACTTATTCTTAAGGACTAAGGATAACATAATATTATGATTTACCAAATTCTTTTTTTCCTCTATTATCGTTCATATACCTAGGTTTTTTATAGTTCAAAGCATGAGTCAATTGAAGCTAAGCCACCATGGAAAAACTGGAAACACTGGACGGCCGTTTCCTCCTATTACGGGACTCCTCAGCAGTGTGCATCCACGATACCGCTCTCGCGAGATTCGAACCCAGGACCTACCAGTCTCGAGCCGAAGCCCTTAACCGATAGACCACTGAACTGGCATCCAACGGTGTTAATGTCTAACTTCAACTGATCCACGAAGTTTAGCAACCATTCACTAATGTCATCAGTGAGTTCCTATCTCACGACAGACGTGGTTTGCACTCCACTGGTTACTGCTTCTCACTAGAGCTCCTGGATGTACTTCCCGAAGTCACTAGTGAGCATATGATTATATTAATTATCAGAAGGGTTTTGTGGAGATTTTGTATGTTTCATAGTTGAAATCATAAGTCAATTGAAGCTAGACCACCATGGGAAACCTGGAAACACTGGACGACCGTTTCGTTCTATTATGAGACTCCTTAGCAGGGCTCTGGCTCGAGACTGGTAGGTCCTGGGTTCGAATCTCACGAGAGCGGATTCGTGGATGCGCACTGCTAAGAAGTCCCATAATAGGACGAAACGGCCGTCCAGTGTTTCCAGGTTTTCGATGGTGGTCTAGCTTCAATTGACTCATACTTTCAACTATGAAACATACTAAATCTCCACAAAACCCCTTCTGACCTAGGTTTTTGCCTGGAGGTATAGGTGATTCACTGCTAGTAGACACGGAAGCCCGTCAAGCGAAAGCTTCTTCTATTGCGTCCTCAACCATTTGAACCATTTGAACATACTTGTAGCAGTATCAAACTCTTCAGGCGGTTCCTTCGCCTTTAGCGTTGCTACGTGAAGGTTACATGTGTATTTGGAGAACTATTCTACTGCCATGTGATGGGAATAACTGGAAGGATATAAAGCACATACTTACACGTATAATTCGGGAAAAATTATGTTTGTCCGAATCTTTGCTTTTGTTAGACGTCGTTAGAAACTTGTTTCATGGCTCCACTGACCCAAACGAGCTTACGAATATTTTGCCTATTCACAGGGCATACGTAGCCCTGGGGAATTTTATTTTCCTTCGTATGCATCAAGAAGAAAGGAAACACTTCGAGACATTTGTATTCCCTTTTATTATCCACTGTATAGTAATTAGTGAGCAGTTAACGTTTAAATATAGATCTTTACAAAGTCTCCAGAACCAAAGTAATAATTGTTCACTCTACTAACTAAATTATTTTTTAGAATGTATGTTACTACCTTATGACCTCGCGTCTTCCATCATTGCAAGTTCGCTCCTTTGTCTTTTGCCTGTAAACCCTTTATCCAACCAGTGGTTAGATGATGTCAACTTTACATACGTGTTTTTAAATATTTTAAATAGGTATGCTTATGATTTATTTAAGTTTTTTGTAGTCAATCCTCCGAACCAAACAAGTTGCGGTGTGTAATTTCCTATCTTGATTACTGTCGATCTTCCAAGCTACTATCTTCAAAAGGCCTTCTAATATCACGTCGTGTCTGGTCACATTTGGATCTACTAAAATGCATATCAGCAGATCTTACGACAAATCATGACTTCGAGTCAACGTGCGATCATTTGATGAACGTCCTATCGTCTACTCACCTTCCATATTTATTAGTTGATAACACATTAACAAGTGATGAAATGGCTTTTAAGACACATCTTCCAGTGGTGAGTCCAACTATCATTATTGCTTTGGGACTGGAAGATTAAAAGGTCTGGAATTTTATGGTATAATAAGCGTGACTCAAACTGTGGTAACAGTTCGTTTTTGGGTCCGTATGTACGAGCTAATTCAATGAATACCAGGTAGATTTCCCACACATTTGGGAATGTTTGATAAATATTAAACCTAATAACAGAATCTCAAGTACTAGTTGTTGGTTGCATATTACCTGTAACATAGTTTTCTACCCCTAATAGTTTGTTGGGTAAATTCATTCCTGCAGATGTATACAAAGTATTAACACTATGAACACCATGTATATATACCTTTTCCTAAGTAAATTCATAACATTTTGTCCGATCCTTCATAATTTGTATTATTAGATAGAGTTGATAAGTTTGTATCATTTCTCCCTGACGTTTCCACCATTGATATTTCTAAAAACTCTTAACGAAATGCGTTTTGATCTCATACAAGAGAACAACTTATGCTGTTTCCTACTAAAAGCCATTTTTTATTAACCAAAAAAGTAATACTTATTAACCAAGCATACTTTTATGTGCTTAGTTTTGAGTTAAATATTGTGTAATGATTTGTAATACCTTAGAAATCAATATAAGTTTAACTGAGTTCCAACCCATTGTCCGATATTTGAAGACCACATGGTCTAACCACTAAGCCACTCCTCCAAATACAAGCAACTGAAATGACATTCATTCAACTGATAGTTATTTTCAGTAAATATCATCCCTGCTCCTCATCTCAAGATATCAAGTACTACAGCTATATTCTCAGAAACCTCCATGTACCTTGGTACTAGACTTAAACCTGGTGAATGTAACAGATCAGACCAGTTAGGATTGTGCATGCTTATTGAAGCCAGACAATGTTTTATAAATTTGCCTTCCCATAGAATATTAAGTAATATGGCGCATCTATAAGATCAGTCCTGATTTTTATAACATCCGGCATCTTCTAGCTGACAGCCTTCGATGACTCCGTATCCAGTTTACATTGTTTATCCAGAATTTTTATTAGTATCTTCGTCTAAATACTGTTTATGATTTTTCCATAATAACGTCACCTTATCACATAAGATTTGTCGGTTGGAATAAATCCAACTTACTCCAATATTTTCCACATCGAGCGTTGCCTGGTAATCATTGAGTAGGTCCCTAAGTCTTGAAGCGAGAGGTTGATTTACAACATGTTTATATTAGATGACAGAAAGTTGTCTCAAGTCAATAAATATTAATCTATTTTAACTCCTTACAGGGAGTCATAAATATCACAACCGATTGTTTTTAGTTCCCTAACGTAACCCTAGCAACAATCATGCCTCAATCTTTTTTTAAACTTAATAAAGATTCCCAAGTCTCCCTTAACATTTCTAATTGGTCATAAAAGTTTCGCCTTATCTTCGTAATCTCACCGTGATTTCTGTGGTTCTACTTTTTCATAAGATTTCTATGTTTCCAAGTAGAGTGACTAACATATTTTTTTAATGTACGATCCTGTCTTCTAAATTACAGGTTCATTTTATGGGTTCTCGTGTAGGAGGGGAATTATTGAGTGGGGGCATATCACAAACTGCGCATTTGTTCTCAAAATACTCAGATCTAATCGCTGTTATTCCCTTATGTCCTCGTTTGGTAGATGGTGAAACTCTTTGGGTGGATCATGTTCGAGGACCGTTCCTACCTCAAGCTCTTGGGCTTTCTGTGAAAACTGATTACTCTTTTGAAAAAGCTGTTAATTGGAGTCGCTTTATTTTGCTAAACAGTAATCAGTATCCAGCATGGATGTCTGAGGTCCAATATTCTGCCCAGTGTTTGGTTAGAGAGATTATTCTAGTCTCCTCTGGTCTCTTTCCCAACGAACTAAAGTATAACAGTGACGTAAGTCTTTATGTAGTTGAGACCGTATAACTGTTACTGGATGGTGCTTATCTGTGCATAAAAATTGTACAGTAAAGTTAATAGTCATATTTGCACTTTTTGCAGTAGCTGAAATTACGAGATATCTAATAAGTCAGTAGCTTTTTGGTTAGTTGTATGAAATTTCGATAAAATTCTTGATTTGTGAAATTAGGTATTCTAACTAATCTTCTTTTATCATACGTATTTCATTCCATAACATAAATCCACGGACTTTATAAATGCGCATACGTCTCTATACTTATTAAAACAACTTACCAAGAACTGTTAGTAGAGTTGTTTGGTCAAGTGTGAGATAGGAAAAAACGAATTATGACTTTACCAGATAATGTTTCGTTGTAGACATATATTCAGTTGGAGAAAATATCACTCTTCAAATTACCTATCTCATTTGGTAGGATTTCAAGAAATAAGTTTCTCAGCTAACATATTTTGCTTGAGTTATTACATTAGTCAAGTTCGACTATAACACCGAAATGACAGTTGCATTTTGGATATGACTGGAGACAACTAATCTTTTGATTATTCATTCACTTTAAAATTTAATTGCAAAATCTCAGTGCATATTACATCATTTTTCCTGTTTGTTTTCAGCTTATCCGCCCCAGTCTTTTCAGTCATTTATGGTGGGACTATCTTACTTCCAAACCAGGTAGCTCAGCTAGTCCTTTTTTCTGGAAGTTATCTTTTTATTCTCACAAAGTATACCCGAACGATATAAAGAATATTACATTACATCAAGCTGTCAGTATTCCGGTTCCTAAAACTCAACCAATTGTTTATTGATAGACAAGTTTGTAATTAATTGAGGTGTTTATATTCCTAAATGATTATCTCTATTAATAACTTCTAATGTAAGGATTCACGTCATTGAAAACAACACATTTTTCATATGCTTATGTTAGTGTAACGCCATCATTAGAGACAATTTAAATATTTATGAAGGAACTTCTGTAGAAAACCCGGATTTTGTAGTCCTTTCCTCTAGGACCGTAAGTTCACACTATCTATTAAAAAAAGTAGCGTCTTGTTTGTTTTTTGATGTTAAGGGATTTCCTTGTTATTGTAAATCCGTAATGATAATTAGTTGCAGTTTATGGTAGCATACATTAAACTGACTGTTATCGCAAAAAATCTAGCATATTTCGATTACTGACGTTGGGCAATATTCCAAAGGGTTATTATCACAATATCGTATAGTAACTAACACAGTTTAGTAATCGTGTGCAAATTTGAATGTTAGCTCATAGATCGCTTCTTTTGTATCATTATCAAAAATACTACCTGGAGAAATGCCTTGGCTGATTACCTACAATTGAACGTCAATTTTTTAATGCAATGAACCTTAACTGCACCTTAATAGCATTTTAAAGGGGGTGGTAAATATTTTTGTTTTCAGGAATGGCGTAGTCTTTTTCCATACACTTCAGAGAATTCTGCAATAATTTCATTGACTTTCTGCATTAAACATCTTTCGAATTGATCTCTGCAAAAAACTTAAGTGTGTATATATATGTGTGTGGTTTTTTTCATCTTCAGATGTCCAGTCCCAATATGTAAAGAATAGGTCAATCGAACCAAGTAATCCATCAATTTACTTTTGTAACACCGAAATAAAATGGATACAAACCAATATCACTAGTGATATGTTAAAATTTGTTGATAAATTCGTCTGCGGAATTATGCGTGATATTCAAAATACCATAAAAATGATGCAAGTCAATAAATCATCTCGTAATACAAACAAACCTGATTCATTATCACAACAATCTCAAAATACATATGAACATAAATCATCAGTCCAGTCCACTTTAAATGTAGTAAACTCCCTATTAGATATAAGCAAAATCGATAACAGACTATACGGCAATTTTGGTCGATTTACCACAAATCGTCCCGATTCTGGGTTTGTTAAATTATTTTATTATTCTTTTGTAAATCATGAATTATGCATCGTGTTTAACTGAGCATTTTGTTGAACATTATAGACCATCTTAGTTAAAATGAACTTTTTATACAGGAAAGGAAGATTGGTCAAACTGACAAAACTCAATGTTGTTGGTTTCGTGTTTGGAAGAATGTCACAGTAATTTTAGGTTCAAGGATAAATCAATTGTCTGATAGACTATTGTTTAGTGTAACGATGTTAATGTTTTTTTATGAACAGTCGTTTTCATTGATTCTCTTATTTCATATTTGGAAAGAAGTCAACACTAATACAGCATTTTATACTGTCAAGTGGTAAAGTATAGACAGAATTTTACTATTTATATATTTTCAAAAATATTATCTGTAAATATTTTTTTAGTTTTATTGTCATTCATTTTTATTTATTTATTTAAACACATATATATTGGTACAAAAGGGCACCAGGTACATATGCGCCACACTTCAAGCAATTCGAAACCGATTCTGTGTCGGTAGCAGTAAACTTTCGTTCACGTACAAAACCTTTTGTTTTAATGTCATTAAACGTGTCCCGCTAGTTTTTATTTGTATTTACCATGTCCTAATATCTATAGTGCCTACATCCGATGTTGAGAATTAAAAGTTAATAATTACCTCTAGTTCCGTTATACTAGGTTTTCAAATCATCAACATCAGACTACATGTGTCGCTAACCAAAACTACCTTATATGTATGTATATTTTGCATCCAAGTCATTTTTGTGTATATGGGACATTTTAACTGCATAACATCCAGTATTCTTAGATGAAGACTCGTTACTTTGTGAGTTACCTAAACTACATAGAAACATTCAGTTATAATGGTTATGGGAAGTCTTTTAGAGTCAATCCTTGCGTGTATGTTTTTTGTTAATCTCGAACGAACGACGCCGTTTTTTTGTAAAGTATACTAATGGTACTTTCGTTTTGTGTAACAAGAAAAGTCATCCGAATAAGATGCTTAAAGCTTAAAGTAAATTTCATCCTAATAATACATTCATACGGAGATATAAAAGAAAATATCTAGGTGTTTCTCAGAAATGAGGCATACATTAGAAATAATCCTAGATTGGGCAATACCTAAGCCTTCACAGATTCTACCTTATAATCCATAAATACGGACTGGGAACAGCGCTTTACCATGAATTTATAAAAGTTCAAGGCCCCCAAATGTCCTGGTGGGGCCGAGAGTGAGGAGACCCCCCCTCTCAAAAATGCTCTCACACGGCTACGCGTATACAGCCTCTGCCAGAGAAGTCCTACTCACTGCCTTCTCGTAGCATTACTGTTGTTTACGAAATTGAGAGGACGAAAAGTCAATGGCCGGAGCTTTAACCGGGTTGGTAGACACGGAAAGTCCACCTAGGGAAGTTGGAAAACCCTGATTTCAAACCTATAATGCACATGGGCTCCAGGAACCTAAGGAAACGAATGACGTATGAACCTATTGTTAGTCACCGGCTACCATAGCACTGTATCTTCTAACGTTGCTTCACTGCCTTGTGAGTTAGACTTTTAGGTCAAAGGCTCCGGGTGTGACCCCTTAAGAAAACCATCTGTTTCGGTCCGCGCACTCGGGCGGTATCACAGCCCATACACAAATCAAGTGACTTGTGTGGCGCATATGTGTCTGGTGCCTACTTGTACCAATATTTATTTGTTCAAATAAATAAATAGAATACAGTAACGAATAGTCGTTTTTCAGAAAGTGACTACCCTTAAGCGTTCATCAAAAAACATAGTACTACAAACTTACATAATCACATTGTTTCTGATTGACGTTAAAAAGTGACTAAATCATCATTATTATTTAACTTTAACTATTTACTAAATAAAGAAAGCATTCCTTTCTACGCTTTTCCTTTTATAGAAATATGACCACCTCCAATTGTTCACCTCAAGCCAACTGTTTTGAACATCCGGATGTTGATAAAACAGTTGTTTATCATTATGCTGATGAATTAGTAGGAGAACATTTAGAATATGTACGCCTTTTCTATTTATTTATTTATGTAATCCGTGTATATTTTTAATATCAACAAGAATAATTATATTTCATTGGTTCCATGAGATATACTTCTAAAGTGATTTTCATCACGAATTAATTCCAGCTAGAAAACGTGTTACTACCGAGTGGATTGGATTTGAATGGCATATAAATCTATTTTCGTCACTGGCTACCATGGCATAACACTATCTAATGTTATTCCACTGTTTTATGATTTGGAATCTTGCTCAATAGCTTGGAGAGTAGTGAGAACTACCTTCAGTTTAGTCGCTTTGAAATCTTTCTACATTTCACACAAACCATAACTATCACGACAAACTGGATGAAAAATATATAATCACTCTCTTCAATCAAGAAAAATCAACAGTTACGAAAAATGCATTTGTATTGTTTGTTTAAATCATCCCATTAATATTTACGATTGTAATTGATAATGCAATAGTGTTTAAAGTAAACGGTACTTGATTTAAGTCTCCGAATGAACATCAACTCCGAGATCCAGGCACATCTAACTGATAAGTATCACGTAAAACGAAATGCGCGTCCTGAATTTTACTGTTAGCCACCATCTATCTTTGCTTATAAGTTATGAAAGGTTTAAAATTATAACTTGTTATTTGCAATGTGAGTTATTGAACTAAATACCTTAATGAGCTACAGACCTTTATACTTTCAATCAGAAAGTAGTTTAGGCAAAATCCAATCAACAGTATTGTGTATTACTTCTTAAAACAAGATTTAGTGTTTACTTAGTTTCTATATAAGTACGTATTTTATCTCTTGGTTTGAACTTTCTTCTAAATTTTCTTTTAATAGAGCCAACAGCTATCCGCTTTACATACTCATCATTTGTATACATATGTTGATAAATTAATTTCCAATGTTCTCCAAAATGCCAACAAATTGATGAGTTGGTCGAATCTACTGTCTAAGCAAATACTTAGTGAAGTCAAATATTCATGTATGTCCCATGATCGTAATAATGGTTCCAATATGATGAAGTCAATGAACGGTGATATGGCTGTTGAATTTAATAAAACAAATTCTATTATTAATGTTGCCAATAACCGGTTACATGAAGATTATCATATAGATGAAAAATCTCCACAACATCAGATAAATCAACAGAATGGTTCTTTCAAATGTGAGAAGAAATGTCCCACAGATTATCTAGATGAAAATCAGTCTCATCAAATCTTAAATAAGTATCCATCTCCAGAGTTATGTCATATGTTTTCAACACAAACAAATAATTCTTCATTAGTTAAGGTAATTTTGTTTGTAAACAATCACTTGACGTTCCGATATATTTCGTTTTGAATGGGTTAAACTATAAACTGGAGACCATTATGACTGTATCCCGACCGTTGCTGATACCTCGACATGGAAGTTGGGCTTAGTTATTGTGATAACCCAACCGAGCTATGTTGGCCGTAACACATGTTCCTTTACGTCCTACCATGACAGCCAGGTCGGTTGAAGAACGGTAAGACTAAAAGCAGCAACTTGAAGCTCGAGGGCGAAGTCCTACTGCTGGTTGTAGGGGAGTGTGACAGCAGTAAGGTGTTCCCATTGAACAACCAGGATCTGCAGCTATTCTGTCTTCTCACAACGGGAAGAGGGAGTTAAAATAGGTCGACCCTAAAAATTTCATATCTCATCTTACCTCACAGACTCCCACCTCTAGTGATAAAACATTTGGAAGTGCGAAGTCAACACATCAAAAAGCTCTCATAAAAAGGTTTTGCGTGATCGGCCTCAGGTAGTTGTTCCTTGGGATCTACGGTCATGCGCAAAGATCCCTAGGACCACCACTGTAAAGAGATGTGTCAAGAACTGTTTTCAGTTTTGGGTAGGGAGTTGGTTAGTTTCACTTGTTAATTAGAGTTCCCACCAACCATTACCGATTGATCTCTTGCAAAATGTATGCTTGGTACAGACTGTACTATGTGTAACACGAAAAGCATCATCAATTGTGTCAGCCGAAGAGTATGCTGTCTGTCAGTTTTCTCAGACCTGATCTACAACCTTAAAACATGAGTCTTTAAGTGAAAAACATAAAAAAATTTCAACTATTTATTGTTGTCTAATTCCGGCTACTGTCGAAACGTTATTCATGTATGCTGAAGCAATTTTTAATTTTAACCATAGGGTTTACCGTAATATACATAAACCATGTCGATAAATTCCTTCGAATAACCTTGACAAAGTAAAGTGATGAAAATTCTATTATTTTTATTGAATAATACTGTTCTAACTGCCTTTCACTCTTTTAGGATACTAATGAACAATACATGAAGACACATTCGATTAAATACTCAAACCAATCAATATCAAGTTGTATAAATTCTGAAAAACTGCTGTCTACCCAACCCGATTCCATTACGAATGATCTACCTCATGTTTTCATTTCAGAAAGACTCTTCAAATTTTCCAATAGTATAGCTGTACAATGTCTTATTTCAGCATTTGGGGAAATTTATGTCCAAAGAATGTCTTATCATTTGAATAAAGTGGGTTTTTTTGCGATTGATTATCTTCTCTATTATGTTTTTTTTAAATTATCTAAAATTAAAAATTATTTTTATATTTTTAAATTATTTTTAACAATAGGATTTAAGAATCATGTTCCACTATATTTTAAACTCGTTTACTGCTGCCCAATAGTGATATGCTTGAGCTAAGTCGATTTTCTCGGTAACGAACGAAGGCCAATGACACGATAGGCTAATGTAATCCGTTGTCCTAGGCCCCGCTAACTAGAGGAAGAAGTCCAAGGCGAATTAGGGGAATATATATTCCATAAGCAGTCGAGTACAAGCAAGTCATAAGGGGAAACAACTCAAACGTATATATACAGCGATAATTTGTCCTTAGGGAGCATTACAAAATAGCACACTCAAAGATACAACAGACCAATAGCATTTAAGATATTTTACAAATGGGAAACACGACATGAAGATGAAAAGAGCGCCTTTGGCGCGAAAACAAGGAAATTCAAAATTTCAAAATAAAATTACAAAATTAAGCCATTTATTAAGTAAGTCCTGGGGATTTGACATCCCCAACAAACAATTGACGTTCTGATCCATCAAACTGACAAATGAATACAGTGGAAGGTATTGTTATTATTATTTAATTTGTACAAAATCATTTATCTAGTATGTCATAGTGAAATATGAAAGTATATTGTTGCTGTCTGTTAAACCTTCTTTTGTTATTCATCAAGTGAAAGTACTACTATACTAAATACATTATTCATATAGTTAATTTTACTACGTGACTAAGTAAATACCAGTTGTAGTAGTTAAGATTGTAACTCTTAAATAAGTTTCATAGCTCTGTCAATAAAAACTTCTGATCGAGAACCTGAAATTCTCTAGTTTGAATTTGGTTCTGATCTAAGTTTTCTTTGAACTTCAAATCTAACTTTTACACAGATACATAAATATAAAAACTGAAGTTGAAAGAAAAATTGGGTTATAACCGAATTCGGACAAAACGATTTCAGGTTATTAACCAGATGTTTTTATCAATACAACAAATCTAACTTTGACACAGGTACATAATTATGAAGACTGTTGTATTTTGTTATCAGAAATCCACTGGCTATATATTCACATTAAAATTACTATTATTACGACTTAACTAACTAATATGCAGCATGTTGCTGTATGCTATAACTTACCTATTTGACTTCGAACTATTGAAAAAAAACACTTGGAAGCTACATTGTGTAGCTCGGACTCACTAAGGATGCGTATATTGTATATAACTTGGTGTATAAATGTACAAAGAGCTGTTAAGCTGCCTACTGTTTTTGTCATCAGCATAATGTCTTATTGGGATGAATTTCTACTGAAGATCATTAGCTATGTACAGTTTTATGTAATAGACATTAAAGCTTATCCATAGCATTCGTGTATGCTCCTTTATTATCAGAAGGGCTTCATGTAGATTACTGAGTTATAATCCAGCAAATCACCTTTCTAACCACATCACAGGTTTGAGTCTCACTCTTTCTCTCTACTTCGGTTTGGGCAACTGAATAGTATCACTAGCCCTCATACTTGGAATATGGTCTTAAGCCAAATAAACGAATCTGTGCCTGGAAGATGAATCAAATTTAACGTCAGTTTATATTTATTATTGACTTCTCAGATGACTGGATAATATCACTACTTATTTATCGAAAGTGTTTATCTTTTACTCTTTTCTTTATACTTTCAAAGAGTCCTTCAAGAAATACAACTCCTGACTTAATCATGATCAACAATAATCAAGATCCATCGAAATTAAATCAATACAATCATTCGAACATACGACCTCCAGGTTTAATATTAGATTGTGGGCTAGAAGAATATTCCTCCAACTATTACGCAGATCCACAACTACGTATTTTAATCCAATGGATATCAGCTACACTAGTTTATAATTCTCCTTGTTCTAAATTGAGTTATTTAGGTAGTAAAATGAATTCATTATCGGACGAGAATCAAAATAATGATAATAGTGATTTAAACAAGGAATTAAAAAATCTCAAAGATGAAATTTCTATGGAGCACTCATGTTCACCTTTGGTTTGTTGTACAAATGGTAATTCAAAATTAAAAGAGGTAAATTATTTACAAATATTACTTATTAAATAATCAGTTATAAAAATGACCTAGTAGTCATATAGTGCTTGAGTTCTAATTACAAAGTTTCAACTTAAAAACTCCGTTCCGTTCACTTTAGTTTGAACAGCCTGATGTTATCATCATCATGGCAGTTTGTGATGTAGTCTTAGAAACTACAGTGGACAATCAACTTGATGCTTTGATGACAACCGTATCTTGTGAAAATCCACTTGATATGCTTCAAGTCTTAAATTCTCACTACTTGAGTATTCAGTTTGAACGCTTATTGTTACTCCTTTAAACCGGTTATAAATTTATGCGGACGTTGTTGTCGTCAATGGTAACAAACACAGCTTCTAGTGACGGAGTTTTTGAGTCGATGAATCAGAGAGTACTTATCACTCCTGCAAACACGAACAATGTGATTACGAAAAACGTGATTTACAAACTAGTGATTAATTTTTGGTTATGGGAGACAACTACCCATTTATTAACTAGCTTAGAAGGGTAGCAGTAAGTGCTAAACAGGAAGAATATGGCCTTGTTAGATGAACAGACATTATAACATCGAAAGGATTAATCAGTAGAGACATCTATTGAAAGGAGCGGATGATTCAGGAATCAAGAGCAGAAAGACTCACCAAAGCAACTGTAGCAAGAGAAAAATGTGCCATTTTTGTATCTGTGTGTTTTCAAACTGAATACCTAATTAATGAGAGTACGGGAAGACATACTGTCTTTGTGGGGTGGTATTAAGTTCGCTTACATTTTGTCCTTTATCCTCTCCTCATTCAACTTATTTTTCATACATTATTTTATATTACTTGCTAATATTCAGTAACCAGTTTCGTTTATAGTAATCCCAGGACGTATAATGTGATGTGCGCTTTTCGTTGTGAAATATTCTCAAGTATTTACATAAACCAATAACATTTACTTTATTTCTCAATATAATCACACTCTATCAGCCCTTGTAATAGTTGATTTCAGTTTTCGTGTGTTCGTTGGATCATTGTTTAGACGCAAAAACTTTCATATTTGTGAGTTCCTAGCCCCCATTCTGCTTGTTCATGATCATTATTGACTCTAGATACAGTTACTGACTGTTATTTATGTTATCATATGTTGTAATAAATGTTTTTGTCATAGCCACGAGAAGCCTCTTTCTTTTCAGATGTTTAGACACGTTAATCTAAATCGTTTAGTTAGGCACTTCGATAGAACTAACACTAACTCTGAGGACAGCGGTTTTATAATTCACACTTCCCTGAATGTTAAAATTGTATCATGAACCAAAGTTGAAAAGCTTGGATAATAAAATTTAAAAAATTGAAAATAAAAATAAGGGAGAATCAACTTTGTAAGAAAATATTAGATATTAGACGAATATCGGTCTCCTCTGGAATCTGATTTGTTGTCTCCCACAGTAACTTGTTGCTGATAGTGTCTGGCCATCGGATCCGAAGTATCTTGCATAGACAACTGTTAATAAACACTTGTATCTTCTGGATAATGGCTTTCGTAGTTCTCCACGTCTCCGCCCCATACAATAGAACTGTCTTGACATTTGTATTGAATATTCTAACCTTGGTGTTGGTTGACAACTGTCTTGAGCTCCAGATGTTTTTCAGTCGTAGGTATGCTGCTCTTGCTTTGCCGATCCTCGCCCTCACATCTGCATCTGATCCACCGTGTTCATCAATGATGCTGCCCAGATATGTAAAGGTTTCCACATCTTCCAAAGCTTCTCCGTCAAGTGTAATTTGATCGGTGCATGTTGTGTTGTATCGGAGAGTCTTGCTTTTCCTTTTGTTTATATTGAGACCTACCGCTGCTGAGGCTGCTGCTACACTGGTCGTTTTCTCCTGCATTTGTTGTTGCGTTTGTGATAGAAGAGCCAGATCATCCGCGAAGTCTAGATCGTCAAGTTGCATCCTGCCTGTCCACTGTATCCCGTGATTTCCTCCAGATGTTGACGTCTTCATGATCCAGTCGATGACCAGGAGAAAGAGAAGCGGTGATAGTAAGCAACCTTGCCTTTCACCAGTCTTTACTTCAAACGAGTCGGTGAGTTGTCCTCCGTGGATGATTTGGCAGTTTAGTCCATCATAGGAGTTCCGTATGATATTGACTATCTTCTCAGGCCCGCCGTAGTGTCGAAGAAGCCTCCATAGTGTCGTCCTGTCTACGCTATCAAATGCCTTCTCGTAGTCGATGAAGTTGATGTAGAGTGATGAATTCCATTCGATTGATTGTTCCACAATGATACGTAGAGTTGCGATTTGATCTGTGCACGATCTATCCTTAGGAAATCCAGCTTGTTGATCTTGAAGTTGGGCGTCCACGGAATCCTTCATCCTGTTTAAGTCAATAATGTCTTTAAGTCATATTAGCAAGTAATATAATATCATATGTCTACAAAAATGCAAAGGAATGACAGTGAATAATTAATCCAAAGGCGTAATTAGCAATATTATTATACCAAAACTTCATTTTTATTTTAGATTGATCTTATATAAACTTACTTACTTACGCCTGTTACCCGTCGTGGAGGAGCATAGGCCGCACACCAGCATTCTCCATCCAACCCTGTCCTCTCCAATTCTTTCCAGTTAATATTCGTCCTTTTCATATCTGCTTCTATTTCATGGCGTAACGTGTTCTTTGGCCTTCCTCGTTTCCGCTTCCCTTCCGGATTCCAAGTTAGGGCTTGCCTCGTGATGCAATTTGTTGATTTCCTCAATGTATGTCCTATCCACTTCCAACGTCTTTCCCTAATTTCCTCTTCAGCTGGAAGCTGGTTCGTCCTCTCCCATGAAACGCTGTTGCTGATAGTTTCCGGCCAGTGAATGTTGAGTATTTTGCGTAAACAACTATTTATAAATACTTGTACCTTCCTAACGATGGATGTAGTAGTTTTCCACGTTTGAGCTCTCCGTACAGTAGGACTGTCTTAACGTTCGTATTGAAGATTCTGACCTTGAAATTGGTTGAGAGTTGTTTTGAGTTCCATATGTTCTTCAATTGTAGGAATGCTATCCTTGCTCGCCTTTACATCTGCAATACTATTGTACTAAAACTTCCTTTTTATTTTAGATTGATCTTAGTAACACTACACTTAATTCATACTAAAATTAAATAGTGACAAGTTTATGATATTCATAAATGCTCATTGTCACAATCCTAATCCAAACCGTTTTTGAAAATATGAACCAATCATAGTAACAATTAGGTTATTATTTAAATGATTTCTTTGTTTAAGTAATTTTTTTGTATTTTCAATGAATATATATACCTGCTTCATTTTGGGCACCTGAGTAGTATCACAGCCCTCACACAAATCAAATGAGATTTGTGTGGCGCTTATATATCTGGTGCCTCCCTGTACCAATATTTATGTGTTTATATATATATATATATGATCAAATTTATATACATTATGTATTTTATTTTTTTAATTTCTACCTTCATAATTAGCTTCAAACAGTTGTTTCACTAGTATACAAAGCTTCATGGACTGGTAAAGATTTATTCAATGCCATATTGAACTATTTTCATTATAGATCTGAACATTTAAAACTTTCAAGTAATAATAATAATCATGGTACTTATTTCAATTTTCGAAATATATCAATACCAGAAGAACAATCTAAAAGAACCATTTTATCTTTATTTGATTATCTTATTCAACAGTTACCTCACAGTGTTTCACAATAAATGTTCCCTCGTTCTTTCTCTTTGAATATATTCAATGTGTACATATTTCTGCATTAAACTATGCAAAAAAAAGATCTTTGAAAAACTATGATTATTTTCATTTCATTTATTTATTCATGTTAATAAATTAATTTTGATATAAATTTTTTATTATCACTTATTTTCACAGTTGAAATCATTAGTCAATTGAAGCTAGACCACCGAGGGAAACCCGGAAGCACTGGACAGTCGTTTCGTCCTATTGTGGGACTCCCCAGTAGTGCGCATCCACGATCCCGCACTCGCGAGATTCGAACCTAGGACCTACCAGTCCCGCGCCGGAGCACTTAACCGACAGACCACTGAGCCGGCATCCAACGGTGTTAATGTCTAATTTCAACCAATCCACGAAAGTTGAACAACCGTTCAACAATTGTCTTCAGTGAGTTCCTATCTCACAAGAGACGTGGTTGAACTCCACTGGTTACTGCTTTTCACTAGAACTCCAGGAAATATCTCTTGAAGTCAGTCACTAGTGAGTATATGATTATAATCAGGAGTTTTGTGGAGATTTCAGTATTTTCATAGTTGAAATCGTGAATCAGTTGAGGAGCCCCACAATAGGACGAAACGACCATCTAGTGTTTCCAGGTTTTCCTTGGTGGTCTACCTTCAATTGACTCATGATTTCAACCATGAAAATACTGAAATCTCCCCTTCTGATTATTATCACATAATTAATTTTTTAGGGAATAGTAAGCTAGGTGACTTGTGTTAGTCTTGGCAATGATGGTCTCTTAGTTGATTCAACTTTTTTTTTGAAATAGTTAACAGATGGAGCTTCAATCATGTGTTGAGGTAATGAATTCTATTGGTTAATGATTCGATGAGAAAGTTGATAAGTAATTAGCCCTAGGCTTGTGAACTTTTTTTGGAGTGTCCTCGTAAATTCTCTGTTTTGGAAGACAAGAAAAATCAGGGTAGATCAGATGCAAATTTATTACTAAGTAATTTGAAAACTGTAATCAAATCCCTTTTAGTTCTTCAATATGACAATGGGAATAGGTTTAGTTTGGCCAATCGAGCATCGTACTTGAGAATAAAATCAATATGGTGAAGATTTGTTGCTCAGGTGGGTAATTTTCATGGAGTTTTGTTCTCTGAGCTGGATGGTTCGGTCGTGGACTTTCATAGTCCTTCTGAACGACATCATCAGCACCCGAAGTTTGTGCTGATGATGTCGTTCAGAAGGACTATGAAAGTCCACGACCGAACCATCCAGCTCAAAGAACAAAATAAAATCAATAATTCATTTAAAATATTAATTTGATATTTTGTTATGATATATCGAATTATTGTTGATAGGTCACAAATATTTCCATACTTTTTTAACCAGACATGAATAATTGACTATTCTTATTGTTATTTCACTTATCATAACATGGTGTAGCTTTTAGTTCTCTGTTTGATGGTGATTTTTTTCAACAAATAAATACTGTGTTTTATTTCTATTGTGTAATGTATATTTTAAAAAGTGTTTGTGGCTAAATTCCTCTAGTCTATAATTGAGGAGAATTTTTCCATAGACAACGTAACAGTTGGTTTCTTAGTATTTGTTCTATTCACGAACAATCTCGTGAATATATTCTCCTTAGAAATGGATAATGAATGGAAGCGAATGGTTTCGATCATGTACCCTTATGATTCCTCACTCTTGCTGTATGTTTACAGTTAGATATGTTTCCTACTATACTATAATCAGTTACGGATGAATAATGATTGGCTCAATCATTCCGTTAGGTTCAAGTTTACAACCAATTTGTGACTCGCGTTGAAAGTTCTACTCCTACCCTTAACGCTTATTACCAATTCATCCCGTCCAGATATGTATAAAAAAGACCAGATACTCTACAAATTATGCATTCACTAAAATATCCCCGTTAGTGTACCTATTTCTATTGTAACTAAGACCTAACAACTAGTCATCTAGTGTGGAATAATCTTTTAACATTTTATACTTTCGTAGAAAACATACTATATATTTTGTTAAATAATAACTCGGACGAGAACCGGTGCTTTCAACGTGGTATGGTCTCCGGCCGGGTCGTCGGAAGTCCTACTCACTGCCTTCTCGTGGCATTACTGTTGTTTACGAAATTGAGAGGACGAAAAGCGAATGTCCGGCGCTTTAACCGGGTTGGTAGACACGGAAAGTCCACCTAGGGAAGTTGGAAAACCCTGATTTCAAACCTATGGTGCACATGGGCTGACTCCAGTATCCTGAGAGAACAAATGGCGTATGAACCAATAGTTGGTTACCGGCTACTATGGGACTGCATCTCCTCACGATGCTCCACTGCCTCGTGGGTTAGACCTTTATGTCAAGGGCTCCGGGTGTGGCCCCTTAAGAAAACCACCTGCTTCAGTTTGGGCATTACATAACATCTAACTTTTCTGTGTTTAATTCAGATCTTTAGGTAGTCACTTTTTCAGCATACAGCAAGCTATTCACACAATGCCATTCAAGAAATATTCTACACAAATTTCTATCCAATGTGAAATTCAACTGTTCTTAGCACATTAAATTCTATTTGCAAACGTAATTGTTTGCCTGTGTGTAACGTGGAAACTACTTCACATTACCTAATATCCTCTTTTTTTCTGTCTAAAAGAGTGAGTTTACTTCTAGAAAACTTTAAAACAAACATCCACTTGGCGTAATATCTTTCCTTAACAGTAAACGCTTAGAAATTTAATTTCTAGCAATAAGTAACAATTAATAAACGGAAGAAAACATAGTTGATAAGTAATTCTTGGCTTAATTTCCATGTTTCGACACTCGTTAAGTTAAAGTCATTGGGGCGTTGATCGGTTGGAAAAAAATTACATCATCTGAACATCTCAATGTTGTACTGCCTTTTTTATCATTTACGATGCAATAACATCATGGATCTAAACAAATCGGATTATATTTCCATCCATTTTTCTAATAGTTTCTGATCCGGTTCTTAACAATATTAACACTTGATTTATCCGATGTCATATATTTGCTTAAAGTAAAGAATTCTAAGCACTAAATATGCAATATTAAAACAAAATTTATGAGTATTTAACTAGTGAATATTCAGAAACATATTTATAGAAGTTTCCAAATAGAGTGGTTAGTTGTCATTGATATACATTTGTAAACCTGTTTGATTAGTTTTTCTCGCATGATATCTCTTTTCATATTTGAATATATTCAATGAATGAAATCTATGGTAATCATCTTTCATTTCTGCAAATGGGAAAATATATATATAAACCACTGTGATAACACTTCTTGATTATCTGAGTAATTAACTTTGCCTTTGAGTAAACGCGATTGACAGACCCAAATAATTAGCAAATTTATGACAGTATATGCACGTTGAGAATAAAATCGTGACCCAACAGCTTGAGCATATCACCGTGTTTTTATCTTAATAGTTTAATTGTCTGTATAAAATAAATCTTTTCAGCAATGACCTTGAATGATATGGCTCAAAATCGTTCTCAGTGGCGAAGGTGCATCCACTCTTTGTGTTCTGCCAAATTCTAATCTTCTGAATTCTTCATCTTTTTTCTTTTTCCAAATTTATTTCATTGGATTATACTCCTTCAATAACATCTTCAAACCCTAATCTTTCACTTAATGCTTATACTCTTAGTACTTCTACCACTATGGGATTTGAATAGATAACTGCATTTCTGTGTTAATGTGGTATGGCAACACGGACTGATGTACGTACGTACAAAGTTCTACGTTGTGACTGACTGAATGAATGATCTTCAGTGACTGTGTTTCTCAATGTATAAGACAGTTTCCAGTAAACATTTACATTACCCATTAATATCTACTCAATACAAATGTATCTAGTTTCTTATAACATATAGTAGTATAATTAGCCAACAAGAAAAATCATTCAGAAATTTGTTTGTTTATTTAAATTCCACTGAAATTTTACTTCGTATTATAAAAATAAATAAGCATCTATCTAAATAAACCAATTAAATGAGGAATAAAGGAAAATGGAATTCTGTTTTTTCTCTCTAACTGAATCATTACTATTATTATTATTATTATCAACGTTCTTGAATGACCATTTTTTCTCCCAATTTACAAGACCAACTGAGATTTAACTAATGAACTGATTTACTCTATTTTTTTCCTTATACAACACTTATTATCTAACTACCAACTTGTGTTCTAAGTTTTGATACGAGTACGTGTATATATATATATATGTATATATGTTCTTTTGTATTTCTCTAAATATCTCCTATAAAACTCCTCACCAGATGTTCTCTTCATATTCCCCTTCTATGTCTTCTTTTTTTTTATACACTGGAATAATTTGTTTATATACATTTTCTACTTAGGGATTGTTCATTTTCGTTTGTGTGTATGTGTGTGTGTGCGCGCATCTTCTCAACTATTTTTGGAAAATTTCATGAAAAAAATAAACTAACTTGAGATTACCTTCTGTTGTCAATATTATATTCTAACCATATTGGGTTGTAGAAAATGTTTACTAAAATATAGGGATTCTAACTATATTATGAAAAATTTATTTCTCGTATATGTTTGTGTATGCGTGTTGTTTTTTTTTTACTTCATTTCAACCACTATGCTGCCGATGGTGCTGTTTCGTTTTTCTGCTGCCACTGTTCATATTATCACTGAGTCCTTTAATGACCTATATATATATAAATACAATATTTATATCCTATTTGTTATCGTTTTTCTTGTCACTGATGACAAACAAACAACAACTATTGTAGTCGATTATTCATACCTTACACCTTCGTATTACTCGATACGCTTCATTCTTTTAATAGTTTATAAATGTACATCTACGTACATAGATTGTTGCCTAAGGGCAATTTCATCAAATGATTTTTTTGTTTGCTTGAAGTGGTCAAATCAAGTAGATATCTTCTTTTAATATATCCCCCATGATTATTCTATTATCATTATAACTATTATTATCACTGCTATT